ATTCCGCGATTCACGATCGCGTAATCGACGATCATTATGAGCGTATTGTAAGTGTCGTCTTTCAAGCCGAAGATGAAGATCAACCGGAGAGGATTGTACTTGAACAGCCTGAAAATCCCCTTGACAATTTGGCTTATCGTTGGCGCCAGCGGTATCTTGCTTATGACCAACTCAATGTCGTTCTCGAGCAGCTCCAGCTCGTTGCACAGCTTATCGTACTTCGTCTCGCACAGTTTGCTAATTTTATTGAAACCCTGTCCTTTTGGGCACTTCATCTCCTTCAAAGTGTAGGTGGAATTTACCAAATCGCAACTGTAATACTTGCTGCAATCCTTGGTGTTAGCGATCAAACCTAACGTGCTTTTCGTGCAAACGCTGCGACACTGCTTCTTGCTAATATCGTAGACTTCGGTGGATTTCGCGCATCCTTTCAATGTGGGATCATTGGATTTGCACTCGTAGTAAAGCGATGGATCATCTTCCACCAGATGCACCGAAGCGCTCAACCCGCATTCAGCAGTTGTACAATCTTCATCGCTCACTCGAAACACGCATTTCCCCCAAGAGGGTTTATAGTATTGCGTTACATTACAAACGAACGTTTCCACCTCGTCGTTCTTGCAAGTAAAGTACTTGGTGCAATTCTGGATGTCAGGAAAGACGTCCTCTCTAATGCATTCGAAATGCGAGGTCGGCGCGCATCCAGCCGGTTGCCAGCTGACGCATTTATTCGATTTCGGATCGCAGTACTCCTCCTGATTATTGGTGACTCCATTCAAGCACGGAGATTTTTCCCAAATGCTGCTCCCCCAGCACAGCTTCCTCGTGTAACAATCGTAGCAAGACCAACCAGAACCGTCGCACTTATCGTTCAGAAAATCAGAATTGATTACTCCTACTACGCTCTACAAAAAAATCAATTTAAAAACATGAAACAGCACACAAAAAAAACTTACAATCAAAATCGTTAAACGGAGTAACGCGTCCATTGTAATATAATCTCGACCAGGTAATAACAAACTTACGCTTTTCGTGTAATTAATGAAATAATAAAGAAGGAAAAAGTCGTAATAATCGTAACAGTAAATAGCTTTTATCACTGTTTACGCAACTTTTAAATTATGGGCAATATAAAAAAAACGGAATACGCGCATCCCGTAAACAAATAACAGAAAAAATACAGCCTCTAAGTGAACGAATAAACATTGCCCGAAACGTGATTACCGTTACCAGTAGTGTGGCCTGATCTTAATACCTAATTATTACATAATACACACTAACAAAACGAAGACTGAAATCATCAAGTTTGTTATTACAAAACATGTACATTTTCAATACGTTTGTTGCAAAAAAACAAACAAAAGTTTATGTGTAACATTTCAATTGTTCTTTGTTGATTCACTAAATGCAATTGTTTTGAATGTCATAGCTACATTCGTCACAGATTCGATTTGTAAACAGTTTATAATATTTTAAACAAAAGAGTATACACTCTCAACATTTTCATAAACTTAGTAGACTTTTAGTAAATTTTATGGAATTTCAAAATTATTTGGTTTTGCTCTATTCATCAAATTCGCTATAAACAATCGACTTGAAAATTCTCAAGAAAATGAATTATTTAAACAAAAAAAAAATTAAGGAAATTCCACGTTCTTATTGGAATATCGAAGCGGAAATTTGTAATGATTTAAGGATAAATGCAAAAAGTATATATAATTCATAATTTGCAATATATAATTCATATCTGTAAATACAAATATTATCTTTCAAGTGCAAGAGCAACATGGAAAACTTTTACTTACAAAACTTACGTTGTTTGTGCAACTATTTTCGTAATTGAAATATATTTAATAAATTTGTATATATTCTTCATTTGTACAACATACATTGTAGATAAGCCACTTAAATCTATTTAAGATTCATCCAATTTCTTATCTTAAAAAATTCTGTTAAAGAAAATTGTAAGTTTCTTGATTATATTACTTTATTATTAATTGAAATATATTTAATAAATTTGTATATATTCTTCATTTGTAAAACATACATTGTAGATAAGCCACATAAATCTATTTAAGATTCATCCAATTTCTTATCTTAAAAATTCTGTTAAAAGAAAATTGTAAGTTTCTTGATTATATTACTACATACAAGTCTTTTACTATAATTCATAATTTACAATATATATTTGTAAAACTAAAAAAAATCTGCTTTAATCACTTATTCTGTAAATACAAATGTTATCTTTCAAGTGCAAGAGCAACATGGAAAACTTTTACTTACAAAACTTAAATTGTTTGTGCAAGAAACTATTTTCGTAATTGAAATATATTTAATAAATTTGTATATATTCTTCATTTGTACAACATACATTGTAGATAAGCCACATAAATCTATTTAAGATTCATCCAATTTCTTATCTTAAAAAATTCAGTTAAAAGAAAATTGTAAGTTTCTTGATTATATTACTACATACATGTCTTTTACTGATAATTATTCAGAGCGACAAGGATAATTGAATAGAATTATTTAGTAATTTCGTTAATTAATTACGTTGAATTATCCCCAAATTAAAAGCTAATATCGTTTGCATTACAGAATCCAATTGTGATTTTCGCTGTAATCAATTATGTAAATTCTATTAGTAGATGTCAATTACGCATTCCCTAATTACGTTAATTTCATTTAAAAAAAAAATTAAACAGGTGATGGTTTGGTTGCCTAAACTATAATTTGGTTGAACATTGTTTTTGGTGTGTGCAGGGAATTAAAAATATTTGAAATATTTGCGGATTGATCACATGGAGCGTCGACGGAGAACGTTCGGTTTCGATCCAAAACATCCGCCGAAAACGGTGAAACCTTTTAAAATTTGTTCCTTTTATCGATTATTCCCTGAACGACAAATCTCTTGGATTCTCGCTCTTTCGTTTCGTCTACATCACTTTACTCACCTCTTGCGGAGATAGCTTCGCGAAGGAGGCCCTCGGCTCCCTGGACGTGTGGAACCTCCTGCAGCGACATAACCTAGCACCGTCTGCGGCGTCGCCGTCCACCGTCAGCAGTTTCCTGCTGCCGAAGCCCAATGTTCGTGAGCACTGCTGCAGCTGCTGTCGCTTCAGTTTGAAATTCCTGGTGATGTTCATGATCCGCGCGCTGCCCACGACCATCTTCTTACGTCGTTATGTATGATGCCACCACTGTTGTTGTTGGTAACAACACGTCCACTTACTCACTTACTTTGATCGCAGTTGCCGCAGGACGAGAACAAGTGAAACTGATACACCGAGATGAATGCAAACTACTAAACTCACACTCTCGCACTCGCACCGACTTTGGACTAAACGATACCCTCACTTACCCGCCTCCTCTTCTCCTCTACCACCTTCACCCTTCACCTTCAGCAACGCACGACAATCCCTCTAAATCTTCGCATCTTCAATCGCGTAATCTATTTTCGTCATTTTAAAATGTGACATTTGTGGATGTGTGTCAATTGGCACGATTGGCATCCCCCCATGCAGTTTGGGCAATTTCAAAAAAAAACTTTACCTTTCCGGGGAATCCCCAAGATGTCACAACAAATCACATCAAATTAAACAATTAAATTATAATTATCATTAATTAACATTTAAAAAGCAAATTTGATTACAAATTAAAAAAAAAAAGATCCTACAGGTGTTGAAACTTTGATACTTCAATACTTTAAATAATAAAGAATATAATTAAACAAGTAGCATCTAATGGGATTTATTCCAAGTTCATAGTTCAGCAGTTTTGGCGCTTCTCAAATTTATTAGATATTGTTTCTTAACTTACAAATTGATTAATTATTCTAATTTATTAATTTTAGTGAAGTTATTTGAAAATATTTTGATTTAATTATTGAAAATTATAGTTTTTTGCTATAGATTTTCAATGTTTTAATGTGTTCATTAAAGGTATTAATTATGTTTTAACGTAATATCCTAATTAGTTGGAAATAGTTTAATTTCACGCTAGATGTCTCTTCACTAAGAGTTGTCCCATAATTAAAGAACGGGTTTTCTAATAGTTTAATTGAATTATTCGCGTCCACTAATTGTTACTGAGTTTGCTGCAGTAATTATTAGATGATTAACGTTGCCGTTTGTTACTTTGGAATGGATCTTCGTCGGGTCATACCTGTCAAAAAGTGTGTTCCAAGTATGACAATAAGTGGTTAGGTCACGGTTCTCTCTAGTATCAATAATAATAATATTTATGACTGCAGCCTTCTATTCATTCATTCAATTTCTGGTGAGTCCAATTGTTATTTTCCCTTTTGTCACGCGAAAATCCCCTTGGTGATGAGAAACAGCTAGTGCAAACACACCATCACCTTCAAATCCATCCATCTATCATCAATCATCACATACATCCAAGTAATTTTTGCACAATGTTGCAGTACGTTGTGTCATTGAAGTGTGTGATGATGATTGTTGCTTCTTTGCAGATTTCAAAATGTATCCGGCCAGCAGAGGGAGAGGTCGAGGCCGTGGCAGGAACCTCAACAATAAGACGACAACAGTGCAAACCAATCAAAATCAGATAGAGGATGAGGTGAAGCTCCCGGTTTTACCCGAAAGTCAATTAATAGCAATCAACTTGAGCCTGGAGCCGGAAGAGAAGATTTGGTTCGAGGAGGTTCAGACCACATGGAAAATCTGTTAGTACATTAACTTTATTCTAATCAAGTTTTTTCAGATAAGGTGTATTGATAATATTATCCTTTTTAAATAACATTCCATATGTTTTTCGAATTCTAAAACAAATTTGCTTTCACCATTGACAATTTAATTTAATTACATATTATTTTGTTAGTGAGTTTAATTTGCAGAAATAGTAATTGGTTTGTTGATGAATTATGGTTTTTTCAGATAAGAAAAATTACAAATTGACGATGATGCTGCACGGGCAGTTCAGGGCGAGCGCGAATCCGTACGGAGAGGCGCTCCGATTGATGTACAACGCAAGCGATTTCAAGTCTTCCAAGCCAAAGTCGTTCGCCGTTCTGGTGATGGAGGAGTTCAAGGCGTACTGCGCGACGCCGTTCGGCCAAGAGCTCGACCACCTCTACCTTCTCACGAATCAGATGAAGTTGACCGCCTTCAACGTCGTCCGACAGCAGAACCTGTTCATGCTGATGAAGCTCGTCGCCGACATCTACAAGTTGCCTACAGACTGTGATATATTTTTAAACGTCGTTCAGTACATGATCCAGATGAAACAGTACAAAGAGGCGTGCCAGTGCGTGTCCATCATCGGCAACCACAAGCACTTCCAGATCGAGGAGTTCGCCATTCCGCTTGTCCTTCAAGACAAGACGTTCATCGTCGAAGAATTCCTGAAGAACAGCCAGATGCATCAGGTCGAGCTCGTGATGTACCTGGACGACCTGCTCGGAAAGCCCGGCGGTCTCAGACACAACCTCGAACAGCTCATCATGTAAGATCGATTCTTCGTACAACGAAAACCAATAGTTTTATCATTGAATTTACATTGCAGAAAGTACAACATACGCGAAGTTAAATGGGACAAGCTGCATAACAAATCGTTCAAGAAGCTGATCGTCCGGTTAAAGAAAATGTACAACATTCCCAACGAGATGACTCCGTTCCTCGTTCACAAGCAGAACGAGGGTGCGTTGCAGTTTTTGGTGCACAGGAGATACGTTGAGAATACGATAGGTTAATAATAGTACTAGAAGAAAATTGTGATTTTAACTGAAATTATTATAATACTTCGATTAGGTGAGGAAAGCTTTAAAGAGATGGTCCACGAGGCGATCAAGAATGACACGAAACTCCAAATGGAATTGGTGTTGATGTTGGCGCATCGTAAAGATCTGGAGTTGTCTCTGTATTTCGCCCATCTGTACAAAGTGCCTCAGTTCCATTGGCCGCACAGTTTACGTACGATGGCCAACAATCCCAACAGGAGGACGAGGTTCGAGCAGTGCTCCTTCGTGGAGGATTGCGACGAGGAGACGCTCAGCGACGACATCATCTACCACAAACTGAGTCTGCCCATGGAGAACGTCTATTTGGTGGACACCGAAGAGGCCTTGAATCGTCTCAGAGAAGTCGAACTGAACGTAAGTTTAATAACGTATTTAACATTTCGAAATTGAATCGATTTTTTTTGTTGTAGGTGGATGTGGTGGGTATCGACTGCGAATGGAAACCGAGTTTCGGGTCTCAGAAGAACGAGTTAGCTTTGATTCAGGTGGCGACGAGGAGGGCGGTGTTCGTGATCGACGTGATCAAGCTGATCAACACGCAAGCGCTGTACGACTTCGGACGGGTGTGCTTTGATAACTGTGATATATTAAAATTAGGTAATTATAATATGGGAGAGGA